AGCCCTAAACCCTACAAACCCTGAGCTCTTCTAGAATCCTGGGTTTTTTTGGGTACACCCCCAAACCACGATCCCCACACCCTAAATCCGACACCCTACTATCGGAGCCCAAATAATTACCAACACTATTTTGAAATGGGGTTCCTTATTATAAGTATTATATAGTATTCCCCAAACCCCGTTCTATTTATGAAGGCTTCTACATTACACCCTGAACCCAAAGTCCAGTGAGGAGATACGGAGGAGGTGGCTCTGTTTAGCGTGGCGGATGCCACAGCTCTCGAGGAGGCAAGGCAGATCGCCAAGGCCTTCGGGGACATGACCATCTGGGGTGTGATTGTGTCCTTTCGGGGCTCATGGCAGTTGGGATCTAGGTTTCTTTTACACGAGTTCAGGTTCAGCGTCCGGGTTGGGAGTGGCCGTTTTTTCATGCTGCAGATGTTTGTCAGCTGCTTTGTCCATGGGTCGTTCTCTAAATCAGGGTGATTTTGGCGAATCCAAAAGAAGACGGCACTCCTACAAAAACGACCCCTTTTGGGGATACTAGAATCCAGGGTGTAGGATTTGGGGCGTGTTTTGTCATCTGTTAAGCAGCCTCTCGACGCCTCAGAGTTTTCGGGTGTAGGATGCTAGGGTTAGGGTTATTCTGGGTTTTAGGGTTTATGGGGACTGCATGGTTCAAGAAGGTTCAAGCCCCTGGAAAAGCGGTTTAGGGTTCAGGGTTTGGGGTCTGGGGTTAAGGATTTAGGGTTTAGGGTTTAGGGATCTGGTCCATAACTAATGGTCTTTAAATTGCAGTTTCCGCAGGATTGGGCTTCGAATCCCGAGGAAGCAGTAAGGGTGCATGGGTGATCTCAGTAAGCCGGGGTCTATTGAAGCCAGGGTAAGGTAGGGGCCTTACTAATTTCCCATACTATTTTGGGAGTTCCTTGTTATTAATATGGAATAGTATACCCAAAACCCTATTTTACTAATTAAGGCCCCTATATGGGTGTTTCCGAAAATAGGGGACTCTGATATAGTACCCTAAATAGTAGGATCCTTATTATAAGAACCCCAACATAAGGTACCCCCAATTTTCGGAAACTCCCATATGACCTTCTAGTCTTTTCTAGGGCCCCGTACGGCCCGAGGAGTCACCCCTCCCCGCAGTCTGCAACCCTCGGTGAGCTGGGGTGTTGACCCTAATGTAGGGGCCTTAATAGTTACCAATACCACTTTGGGGGGGGGGGTTCCTTATTATAGATATAGTATCATATGCCCCCAAACCATATCCTAATGATTCAAGCCCCTACATCATGTTTACTTTCATGTTCGTGGCACACAGCTGCAGTGTCGAACTCAGCTCAGTCCAGTCCAGTGATGTCCTTGGTGTGCTTCCTGTGCAGTTTTCGGCTTGCAGCAGTTTTCCCAGCTGTATATACACTATAGCAAGCTGGCGGGCATGGAGAGCCATGGCGATAATGACAGCGAGCAGAGCATGACCACGGAAGCGGCGATACTGCGACACATAGAGTATGTGGTCATGACTTTGGATCAGATGAGCGACCAACTCACGGAGCTTCGTGGCATGAAGTCCTCTCTGGCAAGGCTTGAGAAGAGTGTCAGGACGATACAGTCGGACTCCTTGCTCACAAGGTGGGGATGAGATCAAGTGAGATGAGCTTTGGGGTCAGTGTGATGGGTTTTGATGCTTCGAATAAAGGTTATGGCTTCTGCAGCTTCCCCATGCGTCCAAGCGCGTCAATGACACCCAGATATTCTTACAGACTGCATCCGGTCCTGTGGGTTGCAAGCCCGGAACACTCAACCCCTAATCCTTTCAAGCCTGAAGCCGTAAGCGGCTCAGGTCGAGATCCTAATCCAGAAGCCTTCTTACAAACTCCAACCCTGACCCCCGGAAGCCTTCAACCCTTTTCTGTTCAGGACATTGTTGGGGGCGGGGGGGGGGGGGGGGTCGGCATAATCAGGAGGAAGAGGCCTGTTGAGTCCCCAAAGAGTTAAGCCAAACCCAACCACAAGTCCTTATCTCTTTGAGATTCCTAGGAAACCAAAGGCCCTTGTAGCTCAAGAGGCCCAAGTAGTTACACCATACTCGACCCGCGAATCCTTAGGGCCCTAGACCCTAAACTAAACCCTAAATCCTAAACCGCTGAACCCTAAACTTTAAACCCTAAACCCAAAACCCTAAATCCTGAACCCCCAAACCCCAAAACCCTTAACCCCCGAAACCCCCAAACCCTAAACCCTCAACCCGAAATGAGCTTTGCAAAGCCCCGGTCGTGCCAGCCAGGTCCCAGGAAGTGGCCCGGGACGGTTCCGAAAGATCTGCTTCCAAGGTGGACGGGGAGGTCTCGAGCTCCTGGGTTTTAAGTTTACCCTAACCCCCCAGGTGCCTACTATATAGGGCCCCAGGGGCTCTAGTACCCTATATAGTAGGTACCTGGGACGGTAGGGTTAGGGTCTCGGGTTCAGGGTTTCGGGTTTAGCGTTTAGGGTTCAGGGCTTAGGGTTTAGGGTTTAAGCCTTAGGGTTTAGNNCTAAACCCTAAACCCTGAATCCAAACTGTTTCAAAGAGCCCAGGGCTACTTCTTATCGACACTAGCCCCAATTTCTTATCGACACTAGCCCCAATGTCAGTTCCACACTTGGAGCTTTACAGAAGGGGTAAGAAGGCCATATAAGTTTACACAAAGAGCCCTCAACACGCACACCGTAAATCCTGCCTCGTAAACCAAACGGGGGCCCCCGAAGCTTCGAAATGAAGCCCTACATCCGAATCCCAAAGCTGCACAGGGACCCCGAACCCTAAACCCTAAAC